AGAGGATGCACGCTGAACGCGCTGACTCTGCGCTGGCATGGCCGGAGCGCAGAGCAGGACGGGGCACGGAGGGCGGGGTGGCAGCTCAGGGCCACACGGCCCCCGGGCCCTACCAATTGTGGTGAAGTTTCGATCTATCAGTAATGAATCTGAAGTGAAACCAGTCAGCTTAAATGATCAAAACTCCTTAAATTATCAAAACTTTCTTTGATGTAAGTTCACTGGAACTGACGAAATTGGGCTAAAATAAATTATCAGAGCAATCCGCAAAATGAGTCATTGCCTCATTTTCTGACAGTCAATTTTATTTCTTTTTGAGGGAATAAAGGTAATTAGAGAACATCAGGCATTGCTTCCAGGTTTCAGAGTGGCTTCCATCCAGCCACGGAGAGCCTCACGGCAGAAAACCAGATGTTCCAATAAAGACCCGGGTGGACAAATGTGGACGACATGCCTTACGTAAATCCACGACGGAGACCTCTCATGGTGTTTAGGCTCTAAAGTATCTGTGTGAATGCCTCCATTCTTCCAGGAGCACTGAAGAGAGGCTTAAAAGCACTTGTTGGGCATGTTCGTACCTTCCTCCCTACAGTGTCAGCCAAGGCATGTGCAGCATTCAAACAATGGGATTATTGACTCGAAGACATCTTCTGAGTGCCTTCCAGGTATGTCCATTGTGCTTGGTACCATGGACTTGGCAGTGAGGGAAGTGGAGATGAACCCAGCAGAGAATCTCTCCTCCGAGCAGGAAGGTCAGGCTTCGTGAGAGGCAGTGGTGATGCTGGTTAGAAAGTGTGGGAGCCGGAGGGGAGGTCAGGTCATCCACAGAGAACAGAGAAAGAAAGGTGTTTCTTACGGGCTGGACAATACTCACGATGTCTATTTCCTCTTTGTTTCTTTCCACATTTAAAAATTCTTTTTACAACGTGTTTGCATTTTTCTTATAAACAAGAAAAATAGATTAATCATAAAGGCAAGCACACAACATAAGATTTACCCTTTCCACACATCTTTAAGCATACAACATAGTATCATCTCCGAAGACATCTAGTTGTAAACATTAAATGCCTACAGCTTTTTGGATGTCAGTCATACCTCAGTGAAGCAATGAAAAACAACTGCAGAAACAACGTGTGCTTTCTGGCTTTTTCTATTTTTTGGTTCAACATGTGTTGTTGAACTTGTATTCCGTGCAGTGTGCTGTCCTACGTCATGGTCCTCATTCCTGCTCATGGGATGGAACAGGACATGAAGGTTTAGGGGAAAGAAAATTGTGCTCACGGCATTTGTTTTCGTGGTTTTAAATCATCTCAAAGGAAAATGGGAGTGCTGCGCCCTCAAGACACACGGTTCGCTTCTTTAGTAGCCATAGGGGCTGCCGGGGAAGCACGGGTATTCACTGGAGCTTGTTCTGTTTGGATTTCTCCGTTAAGAGTTAAAAACTTGGAGAAGCAGTACATGCCTGGGAAACTCTGCAGACAAATTCTTGAGTTGGAAATGCATGTTACTGGATCCTTTAATACAAAAAAAATAATGCTTCAGATTGTACTTTGGACATGATGTCCACTTTTTTGGCTCGACAAACAAACCCGAAATTGTTTTTAGCTTTCTGCTCTGGCATTCGCAAAGTTTTGCTTGAGACCCTTGGAGATTTGCTGAAAAAGATTTATTTGTGTGTGTTCTGAAGAGCATGCCAAAATTCTTCTGCTTCGTGTTTTTCAAGAGTCTTCTAAATTAAAAAGTGAGTACACGAGGGAGGGCAGAGCACTGGTTTAGTTGTTGTGCAAAGTAAACGGGTTTATTTCCAGGAGGAGGAGAGGAGGGCTGGTGTGACAAGGGGAGAGCTGCCTTGCACAGTGGAGGAGTTCATTTTATTCCTTACAAAGTTGCTGTCTCTATTTAACGAAAAACCACAGGAACATAACCATCTATCAGTTTGGGTACTGCCTCTAATGGATTTTTACCCTGAGTCCTAGCAGTTGATTAAAAATAGTCCAAACCACCTGCCTCACCTACAAACCTACAAAGGAAACATCTGAAATGACAAAAACCAAACAAACAAAAAAACCCAACAAAAAAAAACCCAAACCCAAATGTCTTTTTAAAGAAGTTCCAGAGAGTTTACAGCTCAGCTGAACAGTCAGAATCAAAAGAGTAAATATTTGCTCAGAAATACTTAAAAACACACTAACCACCACAAGTGCTGTGTGTGTTTTTTTTTTTTTTGGAAGAAACATGTTCATTAAAATAAAATGTATGCAGACATAGAACACAATATATACATCTTTATGCATTGTTTACTGACTGAAATACTATTTATACTGTGATACAGATTAACATTAAATACGCAGACTGCATTTGGAGCTAGAAAAATGTTGTATAAATAGTTTTCTAAAGTGTAGACCAAACGAAAAAAAATAATAACTTTTGTTTAGTTTCACTGTGATGCCAGTGACAGATCCTTGGACTGGTTTGCATCCGCAGACGCTTCCAGCAAAGCTGCAGTCCCTCGTGCCCTCCCAGAGCCCTGAGCTGATGGCCCAGCCGCCCTGACTGATGGTCCCTTTGGTAACAGAACTTCCCTGGTGTTTAACTGGTACCACCGCTGTCCTAATCACTGCGCTTTGTTTATTCATTCACATGTGCTTATGAAGATGTGTCACCGCGGGAGGAAGTGGGTGGGAGAAACATCAGTTTTCAGAGTGTGCAGAAGCCCAGGGCTGCTTGCTTTCTCTCTCTGACTTGACCTTTGCCCCGTGGCGGGTGGGGACGAGCCAGTGGGCTGGGATCGGAGCAGGACCAGAGCCGGGGCCGGTGCTGGTGCCGGAAGTATAGCGTGTTTTCCTTGAGTTACTGTATCAAATGGGATCCTGTATTTAAAAGCTCCTTACAGAGTGTGATGCAGATAACAATGTAGCCACTAGAACAGCCTCGGTAGGTGGTGAAATTACTCTGAATTTTTAGAGTAGCCAAAGAGTTGAGAACAAGTGACAGTGACTCTGTAAAGACCTTCTCTGTGGCCATGACGTATTCTTGACCCCGCAAGGAGGGCGTAGATTAGCGTCCCTCCCACCCAAGACTCTGGGTTGAATCTTTTCTGTTTCCTCAGTGAAAGCACATCATTAGCCTGTCTTTCCTGTTTCTTCAGCTCTCTCCTCTCTGCTAGGTCCTTCTCATCACGACTCTATTTCCTCCCATTTAAAAGCCTCCCTCTCCTGTGCACACATCCATGGGTTAAAACAGAACAGACTCACCCTCCCTGAACCCTGCGTCCTCGCCCAGCAGTGCTGTCTTCTTGCCCCGTCTGCTGCCAGTTGTGGGGTCTGTCACAGCCTGATTTGCCCCTGCGCCCCTTCACAGCTGTCCCTTGCGGGGAGCTCGCGGTCTCTTTTGCTGCCTCCCTTGGACGGACGGTGGACCCCAACGCCTCGTCCCGGGATCTTTCCTTACTAGATCATTGAAGGTGCTCAGGCTCGTTTCTTCTCTTCGCTCTACAAATGCTCCCAAGGGACCTCATCCAGAGCCTGGGGCTTCCATTGTCTACAAGCCATTGGCCCCCAGTTCGCATTCTGTCCGTGAAGCAGACTCACGGTCAGCATCCCTCCCGCCTTGCCTGGCGACGCCTCAGGGATCTCAAGCTGAAGATGTCAGGACTCATGACCTTCCCCAGCCAACTCAGTTTCCCCCTCCTCCCAGGAATCACACTTGCCCCCTCCTGCTGCCCCGCCAGCAGGTTGAAACTTCCACCCCCAGCGTGTTTCCAGTTGTCTGTATTTTGCCGGCCCCTCTGCTGTCGCTCTCGCCCGGCCACCAGCACCGCCTGCCCAGGCCTCCCCCAGAGCCTGGTGACTGTCTCTGCCCACGTGCGCTCTCCTGACGACCGCCTGGGCCGCACTCCTCCCTTCTCAAAATACCCCTGATGTCCTGGCGTGGTTCCATCTCCTGGTCTCTGTGCTGGGAGCCCCCCCTTAACTTTCCTGCCCTGCTCACTCACCCTTTGTTCCAGGCTATTTTCTACCCCGTCTTTTCTGACCCTCCTCCCCACCAAAAAGGAGGTGAAGCTCCCCATCACACAGCGTCCTGTGTTTTTCTTGCAGCGCTGATCACGTTTATAATTTAACCATTTATTTATGTCAAATTCCCCTTTTAGACTTTCTTTATAGAAGAAAAGGAACCCTGTCCACCTCATTTATTATTGTGTTGCCAAGATTACCAAAAGAGTTCCGTTGGAGCATGGTACATATTCGTTAAGTGAATGGACAAACCCATTTGTTAAGCAGACTCAGCTGGTATTGAAAGTGAGCCCAGAGAAAGTATAGGACACAATTTGAAATGGACAGTCTGCAAAATTAAGAACAAAAATTCAAGTCTGGTGTAGAAAGAGTAGGCTCACGAAAGTCATGGGATAAAATTGCGAATCTGTGTCAGCACAAAATGCAGTGGAGAGTAAGAGCTGTGGATAGCAAAGGCATTTTCTGTTATGACGATTCTCTTTTTGCTGGTAAGTCATCTCGACCTAGAGTCATTAAAAAGGGCGTTCATTGCCTTGAATGAGTAGAGCCTGCTGGTCATGTGACTGCCCATGCGGCTGGGTGCAGGTCCCCACTAGGACCCTCAGACTTGCTGGGAGAAGTGGGGCGGGGGAGGGCTGCCCATCTGAAGAAGGAAAAGTATCTCCTGTGAGTTTCTGGGTTGGTAAATTGAATACATATTCAACTCGCGGTGGCCTGCCCTGTAAATGGCAGCCTTTTATTTTGTTATCCACGAGAGGCAAAGAGGCTCTATTTGTAATGATCCTGGAATAGTGGGTAAAAAGCAAGAGTGCCTTCTTCTGAGAGGAAGACAGCGAGGGGAGGGTCTGTCCAGGGACGAGGTGACCTGGGAGAAGACAGGGTCATGACAGCGCTGGGAAGAGGGAAGAGGTCCAGGGAAAGGGACCCAGGCTCCTTTTCCCAAGCCACCCATTGCAGGCACCCCCGATATGCACTTAAGGGGTCAGTGTGAGGAAATGGAAGGCCGTTCCCTATGGACCCAGTTATATCTTTAGAGAATGTTCTTGGCCAAAAATAACGATTTCCTTCTCTGTGAATTACACACCACCAGGAGGTTCTGCCTTCTCGACTTCCTCATAAGAATTTCCAAATTGCCTCACAACAATTCTCAGATAGCACATCCTGGCCACCCCAGGCAAGAGAGAGAACAGTGCAGGGGGCAGGGCCCCGGAGCAGAGGGAGGCACCCCGATGTTGATAACTAGTCCTGTGTCTTTGGTCTAGCTTTGCCTCCTTTATAAAATGGGCTTAATGACAAAAAAAAAAAAAAAGGCATGGTCCCAGTTCTGACATGAGTGAGTTCTGGAATGTTAAGCATGAGACAGCATCTTTGCAAGCAAAGAAACTGGAGGCCACTTGGGGAAATATGGCAAAGATGCAAAGTGACCACAAAAACAGCAGATTTGCTAGAGCGTCCTGCTTTGTGTGTGGACAGCGGACTCGGGAGTGGCTCCGGGAGCCCAGTGGCTGGGGCCTCTGGGGAGGGCTGTGGGCACCGCCTGCCGATTCTTCCCAGTCAAAGCTGCAGGTGAGGGAGCTGGCAGGGAGCGTGCCGTCAGCAGGGAGACATGAGCGGGGGTGTGCAGGGTAAATACTCAGTCATCGGGCCTGCCTGTGCCTCCCGGGCTAGAGAGAATTCCAGGAGTGGAGCAGAGGGGTCTGAGCAGGGGCAGACATGCTCCTATCTGTGGGGACAGGCTGAGCTCAGCTGTGGGGAGGATCTTGCCTGGATCCCCAGGGGCAGCATGATCTGGACCATGTCAGGAAAGGGAGAAACGACCCAGGGGGACTGAGGGGAGCCCAGGAAGCAGAGCCCAGACTGGGCCGGGCGCCGGGCTCCTGTGGGACCCCGCGGGCCCCGCGCGATCACACACACCTGCCGATACTGGCCCGTGGGGGTGTTCCGGGTACCCATTTTGGACCAGCCTCTGTCGCACCAGTTTTCATAGAAGGCTTTATTCAGAAGGGTGACTTTTTTTTTTTCAAATTGAAAGAATGTGCTGTGTATTAAAGAGATGCTCTAGGACAGAGCGGGTTTGCTCAGTTTATTTCACGGGGTGGTGGGTGGTTGTCAAAGGAGAGACCCTGAATACCTGCATCTCTTATTAGATGAAAAGCCGCGTGTTAATGACCTGGGGGATGACGGCGGAGCATCTTAACCTGGTAAATTTTATTCCACACGTCGTGTCATACTCAACTCAAAGGGTCAGAAGGTCAGTTTGGGAGGTTAGAATGGACACCAGCGTCTGCACCCCAGATGGAATAAAGGGGTGAGGGCAAGCTGGAGAGGGCGTTTTTCCAAATGACTGACGTCTGGGAGCCCCTCAGTCCTGGGGCTCTGGGCCCAGCTCCGTAGGGCCTCTGGTTTGTCCCTGCGGCCGCTCACCTGAACCGGGCCCCGGCGTGGGCCCCCCGCCCGCACCCTCCGTAGGGGAGTGCTCCTTTGCTCCCTGGTTTCAGTTGTCACTTCTGTGCAGGTGAGGACAGCGACGGCCCCGCCCGTCCCGACTCCTCCTGAGCCGGCTCGGCGCGCCTGCGCTGCTGTTCGTTCCCTCCGATGTCAGGCTGTCACTTCAGACGCAGCACGTCTCACCAGCCTCACCTCCTTCCAGACAAGCCAGCCCCCGGTGCCGTCAGCCGTGCCACCGTGATGTTCAAGTCACCCGCGTCGGGATCCACCCGTCAGCCGGGCTGGTGGCTCCGCATGTCACGTGCACACCTGTCTCTCGTTGCCATCCCCTTGCTGCTGCCAGCCGTGTTTAGGTCTCAATCACCTGCCGCCGAAGTTATTAGACGGTTGTCACAGCGGCTTCCTCCCCTGCACTCCCTCCTCCTCCGTCCAGCTCACGCCCTGTCGGGTGGGGCGTGCTGAGACCTCGCCGAAAAGGGTTAAGGCTGCTGCTGCTGCTGCTGCTTTGGATTCCTGATTAATTACAAGATCAAATAGAGACTCCAGCCTGTAACTCATGGCTCTTCATAATCTGGCCCCGTCTGCATGGCACCTTTATCCGTGGGGACCCCTGTTGCTCAAAATGTACGGTCCACGTAGAGGAGGTTGTGCGCGCCCACCTGCAGAGGCCTGGGGCCTTCTCGCCCTGAGCCCCCCACCCCGCCGCTCCCCAGGCCCCGCAGCGAGGGCGCCTCCCTCCTTCCTTCTCTGAACAGCACTCCAGGCAGGCAGCAAGCTCTCCTCCGCTGCCCGGGCCCTGAGGGTTTCTCCTTGGGAAGGCCTCTCTGGTCATTGCTTAGTGTTTGGTTAGTTTCCATTTTATGAGCGTTTTGTTCTCCCGACTGGATGGTAAACACTTTGAAGATAGGTGTTATGACTTAATTCCAAAGAAAGCCTCTCCCTGACTTCTTCGAGGCCAGCAGCTGTGCTTGACGTAGCAGCAAAAAACGCACTGTCATCTCCGTGGGCGCAGAGGCTTATGCAGCGAGGGGCGTAGGTGCCGCAGGTTGTTGACACTTGCAGGTATGGGCAGCAAGGAGCTGCTGAAGGGCCTGTGAAACCTTCTCATGGGAAGTTCTGGAAAACAGATTTGTTTGATAAATTTCTTTTTTTTTTTCATTTAACCTTTTCCGTATGGGATTTTTTTTTTAATTGAAGTAGAGGTGATTTACAATGTTCTGATAATTTGTGGTGTGTTTTATAAAATTCTTGATTTTCAGTATGCATGTTCTTTTATCTCCAGGCATAGAAAGATTTCCATATTCCAGAAAGAGCACATCACTTCGGTGGGATAACGTATGTGCAAGTATTTTGTAAACTTAAAGCACTATAAACAGATGAAGGATTATTTTGATTATGATAAAATTTCCTTAAGCAATAATCTAAGGGGAAGGATGCAGGGAGCAAGTCTATAATGCCGTTCACCCAGCAAGAGCTCATCCCTTCTGGCCGGAGAAGTGGAGGGGACCACGCGCTCTCTTTTTTTCTAGTTCTCCTCCCTTCTGGCAGCACTGAATCTTGCCAGAAACCATGATTTGTGTGAGAGCAGCATTTTGCTGTCCTGGTCCCGTTGCATGTCTGTGGGAGGCTGGGAGGCGCTTCCGTTGCTGTTGGAAGCCCTCTCTTTAATTGCTACGTTTTGGGAAGTTAGCTGGATATTGCATTAAACTGACAAAACAAGTTGTTGGGGACCACTCTATTTTTTATTCAGTGTTGAAAAAGTGGCAGTTAGTTGTTTGCTTAATCCTCCAAGCTGATGAGGCATTTCGTTATCGTACCACTAATACACTCTAGAAAACGGAATCATGAGAGAACAGAAGTCACTGAAATGTAAACATGTGAATAATTTACACTTTCAACTGGTGTTAAATAAAAGGTTTTAATCTAGACAGAGATCTGACAATAAATATTCATTTCTAATTTCCAATGAGTAAACTTTATCTCTTTTTAAAAGCCTTTCCATTTGATTTTTTTTTTCCTGAAAGATAATGGCAAATTTGACATGGGCACGTTTGGGAATAAAATTTCCCTCTGGTCAACAGCACCATGAAGAGTTATTATGAAAATCAAAATTTGAAATAATTGCCAACACAGTAATGAGTAGCCATCTTCTGATTCTTGCGTCGTCCTCCCCTCAGAGTGTTACCTTCCTGGCGTGGTATTCCTGGGGTACGTGGAAAGGAAGCAGCGGAGAGAGATTGCCTCTTCACGTGGTTGGTTTGTTGGGTGGTTGCCAGCCCGGGCAGAGACCTGCCTCGGCGACAGGAGTCAGCTTTGATTTCACCAGCCGGTGTCCGCACAGCCCTTGACACAGAGGGAGAGAGTGCCGCTGAAGGAAGAGAAACGTTTGAGGCATTCCGAGTCATCACCGACTCAGGGGACCTGCTGGTACTTCTCAGGTCGGGACAGGTCCAGCAGCATCCCCAGGGGCGTCCTTTGCTGTCACACCCAACCCCCCACGCCTTCTTGCTTATCCTTCTGTAAGCACTGTAGAACGAGGCCCAGCTGCTCTGTTTTTTCTTTTTCCTTTTTAAATGGATTCCTTGAGACGAACTTCCCATGCTATAAAATTTACTCATTAAAGTGTCCAGTCCAGTTATTTGTTAGTGCATTTGGAGAGTTAGGCAACCGCCGTCTAATTTTCGAACATTTCCATCTCCCCAAGAAAAACCTTGTGCCCAACTGCAGCCCCGCCACCGTGTCTGTTCACTCTTCTTCCCTGGGTTTGCTCCCTGCCTCGGAGGTTGCTGGCACTCTCATGGAAGTGTGTCACTTTCAGGTGAATGAATTGGAACACGTGCACTTCCATCGTGGGAGTCAGAGCTGAAAGGAGCCATGAAAGCTCATCTCATCCAAACTTTTCATCGTATGGCTGAGAAAACGCACTGCCCGTCGCATGGTTAAGGAGGGTTAGTGAGGGTCTGGGGTTCCGGGTTAGGTGACTGTGGCTTTAACCTAAGAGGAGGCACACGTGTTCCAGCAGAGACATTTCTCGTTGCTTGTGGAGGCAAGATGATCCCTGAGAGCCAGATCCTGCAGGCGACTTACTGGCGACTGTCTGTCGCTGGAGGTGTTGTCTGTATGACCTAATTCACACTGCGGCGCGTCCCCACTGAGACAGAGCGGGGCCTGCTGACCGGGGTGTTCCTGCCAGGCTGGTCCTCACTGCTGACTGTGGGTGCAGGGCTGGGACCCATCATTGTCTTGCCTCGTCTCCTCTCCTGTCCTTTGCTCTTTACTCTTGGAAACACCTCATTTTGCTTCTTCCTTCCACTGTAGAATTAGCTCTGCCTGGGAACGGGCCCTTCTCGGGGCTCCCGCACTCCCTGGATGACAGGCCTGGCGGCAGCCGGGCTCCCAGGACTGTTCTCAGGGAGAATTTGAGAGAGAGGCACATGCGTCTTCTCTGGGACTTTTCTGTTTGAGCAGATGGTGGCTGCTCAGATGTCCGAGTGTGTTTTCATTGTTTGATTCACAGAATTTTTATAATCAAAACTATGCAGAGTGAGTTTTCCAAAGAATTTCTTTTTCTAATAGGCAAACGTCTGTTCAGATTCGAATACCAGATTATAAACAGATACAGTTTCTCCGAACATCTCCAAAGGGGCCATTGACAAGATCTTGCTCAAGGAACAACCTGTTATTACAAAGAATTATGTCATTTTCAAAGATATTTCAGACCAGTGGATCAAATCCTCTCATATTTCTACTGATTAAATCAGCTGTGATTTATCTGAAGATTATGAACATAAACCATAAAATAAAAAAGGTCTCCTGATTTGAAAATTGGTCACTAAAATCATACTCTCTAAAGTCCCCACAGATACTTCATTTCAACAGATAAACATGTTTGATCTTTCTATGTGTGATAAAAACCTTTTGTCTAGCCAAGAAAATATAAAAATATGTTGTTCCTAAATAAATACATAAAAATCAACGGTAATCTTACATATCATCTATAAGCAGCTGGCCCATTAGTGGAAAATATGATTAGTGTTCCTGTCCACAAAAGCCACCTAGAATAAAAAGTACCTAGGAAAAAATATGAAGAAGAATAATATAGAACCAAAAGAAGAAAACCACAAAATTTTGCCAAGAAAGATAAAAATAAGATTTAAACAAGTAAGACACACTAAGTTCTGGATGGAAAGACTCAGTATGGTTGCTGTCATCTGTAAGTGTTCTGTATTTTCTTAAGTAAATTATGGAATTATTAAAAACTTTTTTGATCGTTAATTCATTCCATCAACATTTAAAGATCGATTAGACTGTGTGGCATTGGAGTTATGTGTGGATTTGAATCTCCCCAAGACGCTCTCTGCAACCCAGATAAACAAAACAGGGTAGTGCAGGGTACTGAACTGCAGACTCCAAAAACTGGATGACCAGGAAATTCCTGCTGAGCCCAGAATGTGGTCGGGTGCGGCCAGGCCGCCGTCAGCCACGGCAGCGAGGGATTGGTTGTGTGTTGGCTGGTGCAGGGGTCGGGGGTGGGGCGCTGAGGCCCTGCATCTATTATTTTTGGAAACTACAAATATCCCCCAAACCAAGCATCTCACTTTGAATATGCAAATGTGGCCACGACAGGCCAGATAGCGATGTTCTCAGACTGAGCTGCCGGTGTGAGCAGGAATGGTTGTACAGGTGGGTGTTGGAGCTGCGAAGGTGCTTCGACAGCCTTGTCCTTGGGACTCGCACGTGACCAGCGGACAGGTTCAAAGGGAAAGAGCTGCCCTCCGCGGGAGAGTGCTGGAGTCAGAAGCCAAGCTGAGCGGGGCAGGCACAGCGGGGTCCAGGGGAGAGAGGCTCAGGCAGCACGGAGCGACGGCCCCAGGGAGCCTCCCCAGTGGCTACTGCAACGGCCAAGCCCAAAGTGAACAGGGGGAGCGCTGTCCTGAGGGTGAGGTCTGCAGCGCCGTCGGAGACCCAGAGCTGGCCTGAGAAACCCTCCGCCTCCAGGCCTGAGCTGGAGGCAGAGCAGGGACTACACAGGGGCCATGTTTTGAACCATTCCCAGTTTCCTGAGTTAAAGGGAGACTTTAATCTACGTGCTGAAAAGGGCACACTGCCTATGTGAGCAAGTTGACCCAGAATGGAGAAGCTCCAGATGTGTCCTAGGAAGGGTACTGGACTTTGAGAAATAAGGAAAACACTCTCTGAGGATCCAGGCAGCCTGTCAAAATAATTTGTAAGAGAAGGAAAATTAGACCAGCATCAGTCTTCTCAGCAGAAACATTTTGTGCAAGAAAAGCCAGAGGGCGTGGGGAGGGGTGAGTTACGAGCTCGCGGTTTGCAGACCCTAACTGTCTATACAATGGATAAACAGTGTCTCTTCTGCAGAGCACAGGGAACTGTGCTCAATATCTTGCAGTAACCAATGATGAAAAAGAACATGGAGATGAATATATGCATGTATACGTATGGCTGAAACGTTATGCTGTACGCCAGAAATTGACACAATGTTGTAAACTGAATATGCTTTGTAAAAAAAAAGAAAAAAAGAGATGTCTTTTTTAAAATCTGAAAATAGATGCCTTAAAGTCTAATTCTCTTGCAAAATCTGATACTCGGTTGTTCTAATTTATGTCCGGCTCTATTGAGATTGGCTGATTAAAGAAAGAGACAGGTTGTCCTGCAAAGATATTAGTGATAAGAGAAACACTAGAAGAAAAATATAAGCCTTCTGAATACCAGTTCTGGTAAATAATACCAGAACAGTAGAGAAAAAGACCCCATAGCGAAAGGCTTGTGCGTGCATGTGTGTGAATTACAACATACATTGTATACATACACCTACATGTAGACATATAAAATGTGTATATAGTATGCGACACAATGTGAAAGAACCAAATAGAATATTGTCATACCAGTAAATGTAGAAAGGTTTAACTCACTCATTGAAACAATGGTGTCTGATTGGCCCACAAAGCAGAAGACAACTCAAAGCTGAATCCCAGAGATATGCCTAATACACAGTAATGGAGAGATAAAAATGAAGGGCTGGTAGAGATGCAAATACCAATAGAAACAAAGCAGGTGCTGCAACTTGACAAAAGGCAAGGTGGGATTCAGGCCCATAAACCTTAAATGACGAAAAAAGGATACTTTATAAAGCTAAAGGCCACACTTGATGATGAAGATATAAAAATTATTAGTATCTGTGCATTAGGTTACTCATTAGTGAAACTCGTGCGACTGAAACCACAGGAGAGGAAGGAAGAAATGAACAGGTTCACTGGAACAAGAGAAATAGACGGGCATGTACAGGAGGGCAGGTCCCTGACAGAACAAGAGGACAGAAAATCTGGCTAGGACTCACTCACCCACTCATCACGTAGAAGGCCAAACAATGCAGAGGATAAGGCAGACTTTGTGAATATGTTTCACATTTTGTACCTCTTTTCAAGTACACATTCATGAAAAATGACCATATATTAGGTCATAAAGAAAACCTCAGTAAATTCCAAAAAATGTAAGTAATACAAACTACCCTCACTGACTAAATGCAATAAAACTAGGAATTAAGAAAATAAGAAACAAAGTTACTTCCACCTGGAAAAACAAAACCTTCTATTAACAACTCTTGGGTCAAAGGGGGAATAAACAAAGTTGCAGAATTTCTAAAACCGTTCTAAGGAAAACTCAGTGTATCAGAATCTATGGGATACAGCTAAATAAAACAGAGGAAAATCGTACCATTATTTAGCTCTGTCACCAAAAAATGGTAACAAATGTGTTACATTACCACTTAAAAATATAGAAAAGAACACATGATACCAAGAGGAATTAATAAAAATATATACATTGGACAGCCATCTCCTTTGTCCACGGGGCAGTTTAAACAGCACAGGAAATCTCTGTGCCTGGGAGTCTGGGCCCAGACGGTGGGATGTGGGGTGCATGTGTTTGGTTACTTTTTTATTTCTTTTGTAGGTATTGGTCTATTCTGGTTTTCT